TAGACCCACACACACACACACACACACACACACACACACACACACACACACACAGACCGTCTGTCCGTCTCCCCCCATGCCCAAAAAAGAAGAGGGACACCGCTGGTCTCTGAGGGCATTTACGACGCATTTCGCCCAGACGTTTCACTGTTTCCCCGTATCTATGACACGTACCCAATATGTCACGTATCATTGGGCACTTTAAGAGGGTACATGGAAATTCCAAAGCTTTTCTAGTGGGTATACGACATATACCAGAGTATCATGTAGACTACACCACTGTCCCAATCCCATAATCACGGAGCACCCCCCACAGTGTACCTCGAGAAACACAGTCAAATGCCTTCTCCAAGTCCACAAAACACATGTAGACTGGATGGGCAAACTCCCATGAGCCCTTGAGGATCCTTGTGAGGGTAAAGAGTTGGTCTAGATTTGCACAACTAGGATGGAACCCGCATTGTTCCTCCTGGATCTAAGGTTCGACCATCAATCGGACTTGCTTCTCCAGTACCCCTGAATAGACCTTACCAGGGAGGCTGAGGAGAGTGATGTCCCTATAATTGGAGCACACCCTCCGCTCCCCCTTTTTGAAGAGGGGAACCACCATCCCAGTCTGCCAATCCAGTGGCATTGCCCCCGATGTCCACGCAATGTTGCAAAGGCATGTCCACCAAGACAGCCCCACAACATTTGATGTGGATTACCTGTTTCTGCCCGTTGGTTCTGGACCCAGCATCTGTTCACCATGAGAGCAACTGGAGTGATTTGTCTACACCAGGGTGCTGGAGCTCCCCTCAGTCCAATTCAAACTGCAGTTGATCCACCTTGCCGGGCCCGCCGGTCCATTTGATCTATGATGCTGTCTGGTCTAAAACTTTTCTACACCATTCCTATCATTTTCAGATCTCGGACTATTTGGAGTCACTGAACTTTGTTAACACATCTGGATCTGCCCTCCCCTGCAATCTTCACTGTTTTTGTGTTCTGAGTAATCACGTCTTTATAAACTATTTTCACCATGGATTGATTATGGGGGCTAATTGTCACATTATTAACTCCTATAATTATAATTACACATCTGTCACAAAAAACACAAGAAAATGTCTAATAATAATGTTATTGCTCTGAAGAATCCAGCCCAACCTTGGACCCCCCACACATTACATCACACCAAATGATTTTAAAAACATGTCAGGACTTCATTTTTTGCGTGTTAATGCACACAATCTCCCAAAAAATCTTGTAAAACATTTGTAATTATTTTTCTATCCTTAACATGTGTTTTTGTCTTTCAGGTACACCTGCACCTATATCTGGACCTGGACCTATACCTGGACCTACCATTCTGTGTTCATCTGTCTCTCCTTCCTGTCCTCTCAACCAGCCGGTCAAAGCAGATGGTCTCTTGTCCTGAGCTGGTTCTGCTGGAGGTTTCTTCCTGTTAAAGGGAGTTTTTCTTTCCACTGTCTCCACTGTGCTTGCTCAGGATGGGAGACTGCAACGAAGCCAAGATTCATCTTGTCTGCTGGATTCCTTAGATAGAGAACTTTACTAATTGTCTTTTATGTGAATGTTCCTGTAAAGTCCCTGAGACAACTTTGTTGTGATTTGTTGCTTTATAAATAAACTGAATTGAATTGAAAATTATACTTTTGTTGGATGTAACTTGGTCCCACAATTTCATTCCACCACATGTACCATATGTGGTGCGTATGACAAATAAATGGTAAATGGACTGTACTTATATAGCACCTTTCTATCATATTTCAAGACACTCAAAGCTCTTTACAACAATCTGTGCCTCATTTACCCATTCACACAGCTCTATACTAGATCTGTACAAAGCTAATTGAACAAATCATTCTAAAGAGACTAATCAGTGCTTTATCACATTCATACACTGATGGGACACACATCAGAGGCTATGAGGGGTTCAGTGTCTTGCCCAGGGACACTTCAGCATGTGCATCTGGTGGATTAGAACCCCCAACTCTCACAATGGAGGACGACTGCTCTAACCACTCAGCCACAGCCGCCCCACGTCAGAAAATCTGATTCCCTCTGGCTCTAAAACAATCCCAAACCAATTTGAAGTCCTAGCAGTAAACATTACTTTGACTGGAGGCCAGATCTTATCCGTCGTGGGATGTCATGTTATGTGCTATATAAATAAATCTGACTTGACTTTTCACCAGTTCAGAATAAAAGGACAGAACAGCCCCTGGTTTACTCTTGAGTTAGCTGACCTTCTGCACAAGAGGGATCAGCTTTGAGCTGCAGCCAGAAAATCTGACTCAGACACTGACTGGTTGCTATTTCGACAACAGTGGAATAAATGCACAACTTCCATCAAAGCAGCAAAACACAACTATTTCTTATCTCAGACCTCCAAAAATCTAAATGACCCCAACAGATTCTGGAAAACCATCAAATCTCTCTCAGGCACCCCCCAATCATCTGACCTCCCATCACAACTTCTCGTTAACTCTGTTCCTGTGTCAAATAATCACGAGATCCTGAACTGTTTCAACAAACATTTTGTTGCTTCTGGTTCTTTATTTGACACAGTTACTAATGGAAGATCAGCCACTTCACTTAATAACCAAACTTCTACAAATCAAATCCCTCCTACAAGTCAATCCTCAGTTAATCACAGCTTCTCTTTTTCTCCATTCTCAGTCAGTGAGGTCAATAAACTGTTAAAAGATCTTGACCCTAAAAAATCTGCAGGTCCTGATGAACTTCCACCTTATTTCTTAAGGCTGGCTGCTCATATCATCACAGTCCCTGTGACCCACATCTTCAATCTCTCCATGAGACAAAACTCCATCCAGACACTTGAAAACAGCCTTTGTTCTTCCTTTGCTGAAGGGAGGAGACCCCCCCTCACTGAACAACTATGGACCAATCTCTAAACTCTGAATTTTAGCCAAGGTTCTAGAAAAACTGATAAACTCTCAAATCAAAGATGACCTGGACTCATTTAACATCTTACCTCCACATCAATCTGGTTTCAGGAAACAACACAGCACAACCACTGCTTCACTGAAGGTTCTTAATGACGTTGTTGAAGCACTGGATGCTAAAGATTATTGTGCTGCACTTTTCTTAGACCTGTCTAAAGATTCTGACTCTGTGGATCAGAACATCTTGTGTCAGAAGATCTCAGAACTGGTTTTTCAGATCACACCGTTGGTTGGTTCTCTAACTATCTCTCAGACCGGAGGCAATGTGTTCAACATAATGGTACTTCCTCCAGCTATTTAACAGTCAACAATGGTGTACCACAAGGCTCAGTCTTAGGACCCACCCTCTTTACAATCTACATAGATAATGTAGGTCAGATCATCCCTGATGCATCCTTACATTTCTATGCTGATGACACAGTTGTTTATTGTCGAGCTAAAACAGTTGTTGAGGTTTCCAGCTTTAGCAATCTGCTTTTAACATCATCCAGTCTGATTTGTTTAATCTCAAATTTGTCCTAAAT